CCTTGAAGTTGTAAGTGTTCATCCAAATTTACGCTATACCCTATATGTCGTTAGGAGTCTTTAAGCAAAATGTACGCTATCGTTCGTAAAGCTGTTAAACATTATAGCTTTAAACGTTAGCTCATCTTTAGTCAACGTAAAGGCAGTGTAAAGCTGACTACATCAGAAATTTAGGACAGCATTACGCCAGCTTTACGCAGCAGTAAAGTTGTGTTTTTCTGCTCTGTGGTATTGTAACGACGTTTAATACTAGACCTCGCACTTCAACGAAGACAGGAAAGTGTTCTCGAAGTGAAGTGGCAACCGATGCTAGCCAAATGTAACACCAATGTTACCTGTTTTAGTGTCTTGTCCAGTGCTTGAACGTTCCTCTGTTTTTGTTTAGCTTTTAACAGCAGCAGGGCGCAGTATTCGATTAGTGTCAGAAACACAAACACGAAACAACCAATCAGATACTTGTCGCTTGACTTGACGTAACTTACCTGCAAAAAAGGAAACAATCAGATACAACGGGTCTTAACGATTTGTCAAATGGACCATTGGATACAAGGAATACATGGGGTACAAAATGCCCCACCCCCCACCGCCACCATCCCCTCTTTGAGGTTTTTTTTTACAGATAGTGATCTTTACAATTCGGTTATTTTATTTGCTTCTGATTGGTCTACAGAATAAGCTTTCTGTCTAGATATAAGTCTTGGTTCCTGCAAAATTGCAGTTTACCGTGGCAGAGGAGGCAACCAGCCGCTGCAAACAATTTTCCTCTTCTTTTAGCACCAAGAAATAGACAGGTAGTGCAAATTTCTTACTACATCTTTAACGTGTTGTTGCAAATATTTCCCAAAACAAACGTACTCACTGGAAAATCATTTGTTAAAAGTATTGCAGTATAGCCGTATTTAGCTGCCTTTGATGTCGAGCAATCAACTGTTTCCAAGTCACTACTGGTAAACCACGATGCAATGAGATTCACTGAATGCGCACATTGATTTTAAATACCTTTGGCATAGAGTTGTTCATCATGTTGAGTATGGTAACCTCCGTCAGCAATGACGTAATGCCCAGTGCGATACGGGCAGCGGTTTGCTCCACAGGTACAACGAATCCCATCCACGATATTACCACGATCACGGAACTCGTGCCGTACATGTGACTCAAGAAGTAACTATAGGAACGTTTGAAGGTGAAGTCGGCGCGAACACCAGAGTAATTGCCTGTAATGCAGACATTACGGGAAATCTACGTTATAAGGTGTAATTGGCCTTTCTCACATTACAACCATGAATGTAGCTGAGTTGAGGTCAAGGGGTAGGGAGTCCAAGAAACGGATGAAATTCCGCTCTAAAGTGGAATGCGGGAAAGCTGGCGTTTATTTAAACCTGGGTGTCTGGGGCTAAACGCATTAAAAGAAGGAAGGAAAGAAAGTCGGAGAAGCATGAACATCGAACGCTGAAAGTTTGCTTCATGATCTTCCGACTCCAAGGTACCCAATCTTCCGCCTGGTAACCGAGCTACTTTCCTAGTCCTCGTTACGTTAGTGCGAGCGCGTAAAGACTACCGTATTAATTGTATAACGCTTATACGAAAACAATTCAAGATTCGGGAAAGGGGAGTCTAGCACACTTTTCAACCCTAGTTCTGATTATTTTCTTACTCACCAACAACATAACTGCTCGTAGTCAAAGAGAGATTGACATTTGTCAGCATGTAGTTGGGCATAAGGCGGATACCAGATGGTACGAACCGCTGACCGTCTGTACCAGAAACTTCCCACTCGTATCTGATGTGCTTGTTATTGTATCCATCTGAGAGAAAAAAAAAGTCACGATGCAGTTACTCTAAGATAACGCACAAAAGGAGGGTCAAGATCAGCAAACTATTGAATGAACGTCTTCATCGATTATTTCCTCCCGAATCATTCAAACATCTAACCGTACATCCTTCAGTCTGATCCGTGTGAATGTCTGCCCCTCTGTATGTTAATCTGTCTTTCTGTTTACCTGTGTGTCTTCATGTGAGTAGTTTTTTAAGTAGCTGCCTCGCTAGTGAGTCAGTTAGCCTGTCCGTCTGTCAGTCCATCAGTCAGTCATCAAGGCAGTCAGCGAGCCAGTAGGCGAGCCAGTGGGCTAACTGGTTTCGGTCAGTCCATCGGTCGGTCGGTCGGTCGGTTGGTCAGTCAGTCAGTCAGTCAATCAGTCGGTCTATCGGTCAGTCAGTCAGTCAATCAGGCGGTTGCTCAGTCAGTCAGTCAATTTGACGAAGAAATTATTGTTTGGTTGGTCGGTTAGTTCTTCCCGGTATGTAATAGTTTGCTATCACATCTTGTTGACAAAAAATAACTAAATAATAAATAACTAGAATAAAGTGTCAATATACATAATTGATGGCGTAACAGCATACACACTTACAACTTTCCAGAATTAGAGGGCAGACCTGACTGTCCATTGGAAACATTCGTAGATCAATGGAGCATGCCGCTTTAATAGTTGCCCTGATAAAAACATTGATATCAACAGCAAGGTTAATGACCGTCTTGCTCTGATACAACTTGACATAGGAGGAGAGTCTTTTGAACGTTTGTCTCAGGCCCGGGGGAGGGGGGGTAGTTTGGGAATTTCTGGGTGGGGATATGCCGCTGGACCCTGGAACCCCTTAGCCTATACCAGAGGTAGAATGTAGTTCAGCTGAATTTTGCTATCCTACACTAGAGTAAACTCCCCAAATCCCCTCATCTATCGACACTGCTGAGGCTGATTTGCTTAAATTTAAACTTGCCAATTTGATTTTTTTATATTTTTGAGTGGCAATTCCTGGTTTCCTTAGTCTAGATAAAATCGTCAACCAACTAGTCAGTTTTGTGAAAAATGATACCCTATTCTAGACCCAAACGCTCGGACTTATATACCCTATCCTAGAGTAAACTGCTTCAAAATCATACCCTTCACAGCGGCGCATACCTATATAGCCCATATATGGCAGTACCCCCCCGCCGGGGGTTGGAAGTAATAATGCATGTATAGTTTTTCTTGACTTTACCGTTGACTTGAAGTATTGCTGGTTTTCAGCGGTCATGTGATCAAAACTAAAAATCGTTATCATTCAATGAACAAAGTCAAGAATCTGAGACGCGATAGATTATTGATATATAAACAACCTCGCCAAGAATAAGGTCCCTGCTGTTTTTCATTCGCGCGTTATCCGGAGAAGTGTGTCACTCAGATTTAAAGGGCTTTGTATGGAGATATAATGTTGCTGCCCCTCCGGAGGGGCACCAACATAGCGGCTGTAAAGTAACAGAAACGTCTGTCATCGAGTTTTCGTATTGAAACGATAAGTTATTACCCTGCTCTGGAGTTCGAACGTGTTGAAATAAATACTTCTTCTAATAACAGAACTGTTCAGTTAAACAACTAAAGCCATAACACATCTTTTGATCTGCGCGACAGCCTCTCAGACCGCCATTTTGGTGTCACCCAAAGCAAAAGCTTGGAAATTCAAACGTGTTCTATTACAAAACGAAGGCCCCTGTCGAGTTTAAACATGCTGTTTTTACAGGTTTGATCACTAGTAAAATGCGCGCGTTTATTTTAATTCCTGGTTCTACGATGATGCGTTTAGCTAAATGTCTTGTGTGTTTTTTTGTTTTGTCTTGTTTTTTTTTTGTTTTTTGTTTTGTTTGTTTGTTTGTTTGTTTGTTTGTTTGTTTGTTTTTCGTGTCCGGCATACCTTATATTGTACTTTACAACCCCGGATGGTCCCAACAGTAACATCATATTGGGCGTGGTTACTCGGTGCATGCTTCCTGTCTTTGCGTTCACAAAGTAGGAGTCTGGTACCCACACTTTCTTCATAACCCGGCGTGTAAGCGTGATTGACTGATTCAGACCGTGATTTAGTCTCTTATCGATCCACTCCTGTCGAAGAAATATGTCAATTGTGTAATCCTGGGGAAGAAAAGTGCAAAGAGAAAGGATAAAATCAAATAAAGTATTTCAATAGGTTAGAGAAAAAAGTGTGTCCCTAAACAAATTCCCTGACTAAACATAACAATGGAACAAAGTGATTAGTTTCTGAAGCGTGTTTAGAGAAGTAAGGCAGATTTGATAATCAACTTAAACAGTCATAGAGATAGACCTTGATAGAACATAGGAAGTATAATAAACCTGGGAATTGACATTTCGAGCCCTCAATTGCGCCGAGTAAAATCCGACGAAGGACCAACGTTCAAAACGTCAACTTTCCAAACTCTGCTACTGCGGTTAAATTGAATTATCAGGGGTTTTTTTTTCTGAAATTTTGAATTCTGGTAAAGAACTTTTGAGGCTGCCCTAAAATACACTATGAGATCATCAGCTAGTCTACAACATACCATATTAGCCACATCAATCTTTTCAATGGATAATATCCAAAAGCCAACTTTGACTAACACCGGGCCATCTGAAAAAGACAACCAAAAGCGGACCAATAAAAATGTTTCATCAATGATATTTACTTTAAACAAGAATGGATTAAAAGACGATCGGTTCCGATCGAAACCTTTTTTATTGCCGAGGTCTGTTTTCTATTGCGAGAAGGTCGGAGATGTTCTATTGTGAGTAGCGTAGAAAAAAAAAAGAGAGATTAATTCTGTCAGAAATAAACAGTGTGCATATCCAAAGTTAATAGAGGGGAATGGTTATATGAAATCCGATCGACAAATTTTTTGTTGTATGTTTTTGTTCGCATTTTTTTGCCTTGACCGTGCACAGAACACAATAGTTAACTTCTGACTGTGGAACTAACCAATAGAAACATTTTGGTTACGTAATGCATGCATAGCGAATGAGCGCAAAGCAAAGATTGTGCACGGTCGTGGACCTTCCAACATAAACCTTGGCATCTTTGTTCCTTTGATGTTTGCTGGGCTTCATAACCAGTCCCCTCTATTAACTATGGCATATCCTTGAATCTTCGTTCCTTACTGTGCAAGCTTGACGAAACGAGCGACTCTCGAGAGGTCCATTACAGGGGCGAATTTGATTGGTTTTAAGGTCATTCCCCAGTATTGCATTGCGCATCTCTACTGCGCATAATTTCACTCGTGATTAGCGCGCGCGCATTAAAAACTGGCGGCTTTTTCTTTTCGGCTGGATCTCGCCAGAGAGGTAAATCGTCATTTTCTCGAAAACGAGTATGGTGACCTATCATTTTTTTTTCTGTTGTTTTGCATTGAGTGATAAATTTCTCCATGTAAAATAAATATGGACCAATTTTCAGTGTAGAACAAGAAACAATCGTCGGAAACGTGAATTTAGTGACTATAATCATGGTGCTATTATAAAGATTTATTGGGTATAAACAAGGTGCTGTTCTCCTAAACGAAAAAGGGGACCCCTCATTTTTATTTCAAAATTTAAGTTCCTATAATATGAACAATCAATAGGTAAAGTTTGACAAAAATCTCAGTGCAGGTTCTATTCTAGTGGAATGACCTTGAAAACGATAGAAATGAGCGGTAGAAAAACGCCAGCGACTTGATTGGGCCAGGTGTTTTTCACTAGGCATGCGCAACTGGACCGTTTAAAATAATACAATAAAATCGCTGAACGTACTTCGGGTCTTATTTTCAGGATGTATCATATCTAACCTATGATAACCATTTCAGATCTTATACCGAATCTTTTAAAACCCTTGTAATTTGTCGAGTTCCTCTACTTATCTTATCAGCAAACGTAGTACTTGTCTGATAACAAAATAAAATCTCAATCGTCAATTCTCACCAGCGTAATTCGGACGAAGTCGTGAATCATATCGCCGGCTGTCCAGCAGTCTGCTAAGCACTTGAGACGTCACTTCACTCTTCATATTTCTGCTTCTGTAAAAAAAGGTTCTCTCTTGTAACCATGGCAACAACGTCTTCGTTTTAAAGCTAGGAAAAAAAGACTGGTTTCTAGGACGAATCATCTCAGTCGAAAAAGAAATGTGTAAAGAAGCTGAGAAGAAGAAGCCTAAGAGATAAAGAGGAAATGCATACGAATTGCTGTATAACAAGTTGCTGACAATTTGTCGTCTTAGTTGAAAGAAGTTACGTTACGGCGCGGATAACGCAAGTTAAAAGTTTAAGCCTAAAGTTCCAAGTTTTATAGGCTTTGTAATCCGTCGGAATCTTCCTAATTTAACCAGATCATTTCTTCTTGGTCAATTATTATAAAACCTTTGGCAGGTTTCTAATTTAACATGCATACTATCATTTTGAAGCTTTCTCGGGTCTAATTTCTGATGTGATTTCTGAAACATAAGCAAAGGCAAGTCTTGGTTATAATTTATGCAGACTGGTTGAAACAAACTGACACAAATTGATATGATTAGCTTATTAGTTATAGTTCTTTGCATGAATTATATATCCAAAAATTGACCATATAGCTAACTACAGGAGTCATTCTTGAGGACTCACAAAATATATAAAGTACGTTGTACAAACTTTTCACCGCACAGGAGAAGATGCAGTTTTAAACCTGTTTCGCGATTCAGTAGAACCACATGTTAACAGGTACCTAAAATTCAGTGCCATGTTTATGTTTCAGCAACCAACAACCGCCAGGAATTAAGAATAGAAGGGAAAACAATAGTTGTGTTTAGAAGTAAACAAAATAAATAAAGACAAAAAATGGTGTTCCTGAAATACGTGAAGCCCCCGTGGCGCAATGGACTAGCGTGTTGGACTTCTAATTCAAAGGTTGTGGGTTCGAGTCCCACCGGGGGTGGAATTTTTCTTTTTGAGAATACTCAAATTCTCCTTTTCAAGGCAGTCTTTATTTTTCTCGCTAAATATCGATGCGTGCCAGTGGTAATTCATTGGAAATGCGAAACGCACACAAAAACCTAATCCACTCGAATTTTCCATTCTCCTACTAGATCCTTTTCGATACGCTGCGTCACACCCGAGGAAGCCCCGTTACACTTGGTAGTGACTGCAGTGAATATTCCAAAGTTCCCTCACTGTGGTCTTGTGTACATGAGGTGTTAAAATTTTCACATTAAACTTTACCATCAAGGAGCTAGATAGTTCTTGGAGACTAAACGATAATTGAATTACTGCTTTACCCTAAAGATTGCTGTGGATCAGTGCAAAACCAAAGAAATATATTCTGAATTATTTACTGACATGTCAGCGAAATAGGAACTTTCTATCGTGTAAAAAAAGAATAAACTAACAAAAAAAAAGAATGAAAAAAAGCAACAACAACAACTGAAAAAAGAAAACCTTCCCATTGTGTAAAATAAGGGAGATAAACTACAGTACAAGTGATATAAGTTGACATTCCAAACAGTCTTCCAACACTGTTTACCTTTTGATGTAATAGACTTTTTATTCATTATTATTCCTTATCACTGTGTTACTTAGCTAACACGATGATAGGTTACAAAGAGAGAATAGAGAGTAAGAGAGATAATCCCCCGTAACAGGCCTTACGATTCCCATGGTTATAAGTTATTTTTAGACATGGGAGCGATCTAAAAATAGCTTCAGAGGGATCACTCTGGAAAGATTGGGATTGTCTCGCTTAGCCTTTATGTTCTTTTGAGGTTACTGTAAAGGCACTTTGCAATACGCCGATCAATCGGGCAAGTCTACCAGTTACCGTGTATGAAGCCAGCTAACTCATAATTGAATAAATCAGTGATGGCAGAGCTATGAGGCACCCTGTTTTCAATATTTAAAATTCCATTGTCAGTGACTTTAAACCTGTCGCGACAGCCCACCATCTAATCTTTCCAGCTTCAACGCAGTATAAAAAAAAATTTAATGGAACAAAGCTGGCATACTCGGGAATGCTTTAATACAATACTAAACTCTTATATATGTAAAAATAAAAAAAATTACATGAAACGTGTGGACACAGTAAATAGAATGCTTATTTCTGGGTACGTTGCATAGGACTGAAACGGTTTATGTGAAGTTTGCAAAAAAACGTACCTCGCAAGTGTCCACGGGCAAACAATAAGGCCGCTTATTCCACACGAAATTAATATAACAAGGTTCATCTTCTAACGTCCTTAAATTCTTTGATCCTGCAGAACAGAAACTTTGTTCACAAGTTAAAACATGCATTTTAAGAATAGCGGTACATTTACCGTTTCCTTGTATAAAACAGCTTTTAACACCCAGTAGCTCTTGTGGTATTGACCATTAGTCACTCCAAATATATATTTACACAATTGGGTTCTTTTTAAAAATTAAATTATTCAAGAGCTGCACCTTGTAGTAAATGCTGCCACCACCTTGTATAGAGGTTTTGCACGGCAACCATGTTGCATGGCAAGAACATTGAAAATGTTTTGTATTAGAAAGAACATTTTTCCCCATAGAAAAAATAATCTATTGTTCCTACCGTGCAACATGGCCGCCGTCCAAAACCTCTATTGCCAATTTTACAATCAAAATTTTTTTTTCTGAGACGACATTCCTAGAAAAATGTAATAAATAAATCGAAAGAAATGTTCAGATAATTTAAAAGACAACAAACACCAGCAAACAATATGCCTGAAGCCCGGTGGTATCTACTGGACATGCGATAATGAATAACGAGACAGAAAGCGCACCACAGGTCATACAGGACAATTCACCTTTGCCAATTTCTTGATTATAATTAAAAATTAACACCTGCAATAAGGTGAATTTTCAGTAAAATATTCCAAAGCGACTATCTTTTTCGATACTCCCATACTACGTACTCGATACCAAACGTATTGTAATCTCTACTCAGATTGAGGAAAGAGTTATGAAATGTTATGTGTATGAAAATTGAAAACTGTTTTTCAATATGAAAAACTCATTTGCATTTTTTGATTAACTTAAGATTAATGAATGAAGTTTCTGTTAAATGGTTTCTGCTCAGGAAAGCCCGTACCGGCTTGGCGATTGACTCCAAAACCCATCAATTTCAAAGGCTAAGACTTTTTCTTTTTTTTTTTAAAGGATTTCTAGTTTTCCGTTTAGTTTCCAGCCATATGCTATCTAGTATAGCTGGATTGCTAACGTGATACCTGAATCTATACAAACTACTGAAATGTGGGACTCACCTTCGAATGAATTACTTCTCAGACAACTAAGCGGCCATGTTTCTTTGGGTTCACACTTTCCGGTCGTTAACAGAGCATAGTTACAATGACCACGGTTGACGCGGAGATAAAATTTAAAACCGAGCTGCTCTGTCGGCAGTTCTTTCAATTAATCTCTAAGTCCATACATTTCAATGACAGCTGTATGAACTTCATTTTATTTTGCAGCCCACATGAGTCCGAGGCAACAATGACTGAGAAACTAAATGAGATTTTTTAAACAATTCGTATGAACGAAAACTGTAGGGGAGTTTCCAACTAAAGAATAAGGTTTAATACTTGTTATTTCGATATCATCTATAGCCTTACCGAACGACAGTTCGATGACTCTATGTCAACATTATCAAGTTCAAAGTACATGATAGAATTGGTTATATAAAATATCACAGAAAGCTGAATGGTTTGATCTACGAGATGCTGATCATTATGGACTTGAAACCAAAACCTTACAAGCAATCAGATTCCGTTTGTTCCAAACTTTTTGCATGGCAAATGAATACTTAAACGCCTTCAAATATTTTCGCGCTGTTTCTGCTATATATGTGTACAATCAATTCTGTTAAGTACTTTGAATTTGGTCTTCGAAACGTCTTTGGGTTTTGCTATCGCTGATTTTCATGCTGAAATGTTTTGCATAAACCTTATGTTATTAGTTATTTCGATATTACCGCAGGCATT